GGGGGAAGTTGGGGGTCCCAGGGGGTCCCCACCTCTCACAGCCGTCTCGGCACAGCCCTTGGGGATGTTGGTGGCCAGCGCCAGCTCCACCAGGTTCACCTCCCGGTCCTCCTGGAAGAACAGGTCGCCCTCCTTGATGGCCCGGAAGGGCAGCGAGTCCTGGGAGCCGAACCCGCACACGGCCTGGGGGGACATGGGGGGGACACGGCGGTGACACCCCCGGACTGGCACTTCCCACCCCCCCCCGGCCCCCAGGGACCCCCTGGGATTTGGGGGGACCCCAATCCCCAGCACGGTTGTGCTGCTGGGACCAGTGAGTGGGACGCAGCCCCACCAGTGTCCCCAACCCCACCAGTGTCCCCACTGTCCCCACCCCCTCCCAGTGTCCCCAGTGTCCCCAGGACCCCCGACACCCCCCCCAAAGCCCCCTCCCCACCTCGACGTTGCTCCAGCGCAGGGCCCGGTTAAAATCCTCCACGGTGAGGCGGCGGCGCCGGGTGTGTTTGAGGAACTGGGAGCTGTTCTGGGACACCGGGAACGGGATTGGGACCGGAACCGGGACAAGGGACCAGGGACTGGGATTGGGGTTGGGATCGCAACCGGGAACGGGACCGGGATCGTTACCGGGACTGGGACCAGAATTGGGATCGCTTCCGGGATCGTTACCGGGAGCGCGATTGGGATCGGTACCGCCCTCATTACCGGGACCGTCCCCGGGAACGGGACCGGGATCGTTTCCAGGCTGGAGATCGGGACCCGGAGCGTTACCGGGATCGCCCCCGGACCCCGCGTCCCCCCGGTTCCCCCCGGTTCCCCCCGGTTCCCCCCGGTTCCCCCCTGCCCCGGTACCTGCGTGGCCTCCCTGAGCCGGTAACAAACGTCCTCTGCGAGCAGCGCGGCCACGTCGTCGCTGAGCTCGAGCCCCGCGCTCTCGGCCATGAGCCGGACCGAGTCCCGGGGCAGCTCCACGAACCGCCGCTCCTCGCGCTCCGCCATCGCGGGGGCGGGGCCGGGACATGCAAATGAGCACGGGGGAACAGCCAATCCTCGCGCTCCGTCGCGGTGGGGGCGGGGACATGCAAATTTGGCAGAGGGAGATGCCGGGAGAGGGGCGGGGCGACGCCCAGCGCGCGTGCGCGTAAAGGGAGGGGGAAAGGGCTGATGGGAGTCGGGGGCGGGGCTATGCAAATGAGACCTGGGCGGGGCTATGCAAATGAGACCTGGGCGGGGCTATGCAAATGAGACCGGGGCGGGCTCGGAACGGACGGGGGGGATCGATATCGGTCGGGATCGATCGCTCCGATAGAAGGATCGATAGGAGGAAGGGGAGGGGGACGGGACCTCCCGGACCCCCCGCGCTGACCCCTCCCACCGTCCCTTTAGAACCCACCGCTTGCTTAATTTGCATAACCACACCCCTTTGTCCGAACACTCCCTTCCTTCAGCCTGATTGGCCGACAGCGCAGTTACATTTGCATTCGCCTCGCCCCGCCCCTCCAGTCGTTTTGCATATTCCGCGCGGGTTTTGTATCCAGTGCCGCTCTGATTGGTCGGGGATCGCCCCGCCCCTCCAGACCCCGCCCCCAGGAACGACCCCAGGCTTCGAAATTCGGTGAAAACGTTTATTTTGCTGGAAAACGGGCGGGCGAGGCCGGGGGTGACCCGGGGGGGGCCGGGGGAGCGCCGTACAAAAAGGGGGGGCTCAGGGGGGGGGGGGACGCGGCTCCGTCCGGGGCCACACCTGGAAAAGAGCGGAGAGGTGAGAGGGGTGGGGGGACACGGGGACAGCGGGACATGGGGACAGCGGGACATGGGGACAGGGGGACATGGGGACAGGGGGACATGGGGACAGGGGGACACAGGGACAGCGGGACACGGGGACAGCGGGGTGCTGGGAGACCAGGACATGGGGACACCCAGACATGGACACACTGGACAAGGGGACAGCCGGATATAGGACACCCAGACATGGGACACCCAGACACGGGACACCTGGACATGGGGACACCCTGATGTGGACACACTGGACAAGGGGACACCTGGACATGAGGACACCCAGACATGGGACACCCAGACACAGGACACCCAGGTGCTGGGAAACAGCAGTGACAGCCCCTGCTCCAGCAGGGAAAGGGGCGTCCCAGTGACAGGGGAGGGACAACAAGGTGACAGGGGTGGGACAGGATGGTGACAGGGGAGGGACAACAAGGTGACAGGAGTGGGACAGGATGGTGACAGGGGAGGGACAACAAGGTGACAGGGGTGGGACATGGTGGTGACAGGGGTGGGACAGGATGGTGACAGGGGAGGGACAGGATGGTGACAGGGGTGGGACACGGTGGCAGCAGCAGCAGCGACCCGGGGCACATCTGACCTGACGCAGTGTCGGCGTCCGGGGGCCGCGAGGCCACGGCAGCGTTGGCGAGTCCCGGGGGGGCTCCACGGCGACCCTGGGGGGGAGAGGCCGTTACCGAGCGCCGGGGCCGCGGCTCCGCGGGGGTCGGCGCCGCCGGCGCTCACCTCAGAAGGCGGAATAGCGCGCCCGCTCCCCGTAGGGGTCCCGCTCGAAGCGCTGCATGTCGTAGAGCGAGGCCCGGGCCACCGAGGAGACG